ACGATTGTGTAAAATATATTTTTCTCTTTAGTATTTTTAATAGCAATTTAAATAATATTTTTGTGCAACAACGACAAGAGAAAGCCAATAGAATTTTTATAAATAAATTAGTGAGCGCGTCAAAAAAAAAAAAAAAACAAAAAAAATTAAAAACAGTCAAAGAAATGTTAAATGCAAATGGAGTAAAATAAATATGTAAAAAATTGTGTAATAAAGCTAAGTACACAAATTGACATTTAGATAAACACACATACACATATACATAAATACATACACAAATGGTAATCTAAATGCCGAATTCTAAACATATATTATATATGTATATATATATATATATGTACGCTTATGTATATTGAACTCATACTCATAGCTATTACACATACTCACAGACATACATACATACATATACTTGACACCTAACTATATAACATACATATGTACATTACATTAACACATAATCGATGATGAGTTTACTTTTAGTCTGCTAAGCAAAAATTATAACTAAGGAAAACTTAATAAAATTGAGAAATTGAAAATTAAAAAAAAAAATGCAGTTTTTCTTTAAATTATTTACATCTGCGGTTTTTTTTTCAATAAATTTGGTAAGTGAAATGTAAGATCCACAAGAGATATATATTTAAAGCGTTATAGGGATACCGCTGTGAGGCTCCTTCTCAAATCATCGCACCATTTCGTGTGTCTTCTAGTGGCAACGAAATTCTCTATTTTCGCTGAAGCTACCTCGGTGAGCCAGTTGAGAAAGTGTGCAGTGACGGAAGTAGTGCCAGGGAGGTGTCTATGCTCTTCTTAGTAGCTTCAGCTGCGGGAAAAGTTATTAGAGTGATAGCCCTTTTTTCCCCCTGAAGCCCCTTTAAAGAATGCCCTGTTATTATGACTGCTGTTATGTTTATGGAAAATCGGTAAAGAAGGATAGTCTTAATCCGTAGCTGTCTGGTCTCGTCCAGTCATCCTGAGTTTGTTTCTTTGGCAAAGGCCAGTTTAAGTAGGCAAACCTGCAACGTATGCATGTTTTATTGTGGATAGAGGGGTCCTTACCTCGCTAGTTCGTCTGTAATACAATTACCTAGGATGTCATTGGGTCCAGGTACCCAGACCCCGACATGGTAGGCATCTCAAACCCTCTACCTATCAGATCTATCGAAAGAATGTGTTTCTCGCAATACCAGAAAAAAGCGGATACGACGAGAAATGTCGAAATCAAGTGGAGAGAAAACAAACTGCCCACCTTGCCAACTTTCGAACGACCACAACACGTGCAGGGTGGTATAGGTCGGTACCTATCTGAGGTGAACAGGGAAGCAAGATGCATTTGCAGACAAAAAAAAATTGTGAAAGACTAAAGTATACAGCAGACGCAATACCTTTTCACTGATTTTAAAGCTATCTTCAACAGCACAGTAAGAAACTGCTCCTTCGTCGCCATGCCTGAATTTGACATTTCTGCAAAAAAAAGCTATGCAGACTGACGCTGGACAACACCAGAGACGCAGTCAGAATTAATACCGATCTTTTTGTTATCAAACCTGGTCTCAGACAATGCTTCTTTAACAACCGCGTGGTTAGTTCTGCCTTTTCTAGGCTGCGGTTCTCTAGAGGGAATGTCAACCCCTCCGGGTGTATTTCTGATTTGAAATAAAGCTTCTCATAAAAAAAAACATCAGTCGTTCGGAGGCGGCTTAGTATAAAGTGTTGGTCCCTCCATTTGTAGGAAAACATCGGCGGAAAACGCTTTAACGCTTACAAAGCGCCAATTATATATAATATCTAGACACCAGCCATGAAATTCAACGCTCGCCTACAGGAGTCTCTGCGAAAGTTTTAAGGTCCTTATATACAATGACATATTTCAGCGAATAAAGAGACAGTTGCTATGCTGACTAGGTCATGTCGGCCGAGGGAATGAAAGCACTCCAGCTTTAAAAGTATGCGATGTAGAACACGACGGTGGAAGCAGATGAATATAGAGACCTCCACTTCGCTGAAATCCGGTGGAGAGCGATCTGGTTTTACAAGGTATTACCACATAGCGTGAAGAGAAGGAACAGACGACCTGCTACTGTTGAATCGGCTATAATCGCGTAAGCATAGCTAACACCAATAAATAAGAAGAAGAATACATAAAAACTCTACTTAGAGTGCCAGATACGCTAGAAGATTGGGCATGCCATACAAAGAATACTTTTGAAGGGATTTTATGGGAAAAGGATCTCAATATTCGATTCAGATTTTTTAGACGATATCAGTACATTTTATAACCACGATAGTGCGTGTGAACAGTCCACTTTTGTCCATCCTATTATTCTTGCAAAACTAATGAAAGATTGTATAAACTAAGCGTTTGATCGAGTGTGACTGTTAAAATGCCCACAACCACATTCAAATTGGGTCGACCCTATATTTTCAGCGTTACTCTAATCGAAAGTATTCTCTAATTCAGAACTACGAGTATGACTCATTGTTGCATATCAAGCACATGAACAGCTGTGTCATTGATCAACAACTCCGCCCATAATCACCTACATAAGACTATATATGTACGAGTATGTCACGAAGAAAGGCCGCCACGCATCAGCAATCACCACCAAAAACAGCTCACTTGTTTAAATATCAATCACGAGTTCATTGATAAGCGTCTAGCGTGTACCCCGTTAACCCTTAACCCCATACCGCAGACGACTTTTTGCACTTTAACTCGCGCTCGACGCTAAGTACTTATATACATACATACATACATACATATGTACGAGTACGAGCGAGTGCATTAATATTAGCCACGTCAGCTGGTGACACCAAAAAAATATTTAAACACAAATAGAAACAACAACAGCAACAACAACAACTAAACAACTGACACCGTGTTGTACTTTCACCCGCAGCGTTTGGAATAGCGATTTAGTGAATAAATAAACAACCAACAACTCACAACCCACAACCAACAGCCAAGAGCCAACAGTCACCAGACAGCAGACAGCAAGCAGCAGCTAGAAGCGAGCACTACCAATATCGTAGTGGAAAGTGGTGAAAAAGTTTGAGAACTTAAACCACCCGCTAAATCTACAATACAAATAAACAAAAATTTGCTTAGTCAGCGGTAAACACCCTCTCATCCACACACCCTTACAACAGCAAAACGAACGCATTGAGCGAATGTACGAGTAGGAAACTAAAAACTTCCGGTTGTGCGTCACCAGTTGCAAGCAACTATAAATAAAGCGACTACCAGCTGCCAGCCGCCAGCTGCCGGCAAATTTCAAGTTCGCGTGTTAGTTGCTATTAGAAGTTTTTAGTTGCATACAACAACAGTGTGTGGCACCAAAGGGGGTCAACACTCACCCGATTGGTTGTCCTTTACTAAAACGCTCGCTGCCGGTGAAATACTACGCATATAGAGCTGGTTGTTTGCCTTTGCATGTAGTTGGTGAAATGCATTCGTCTCGGTGTGGTTCTATAAATCCCAGTTGTGTAATTTTGTTTTGTTTGATTTTAGTTTTTAATTGAGTAATTACTTAGTATTTAAGTGATCAGTTAAGAAGAAAGGTAAATGCCCAGCAAAACTAAGTAAGTTTACGAGGTGTGACAATAAAGTAATGCGACTGATTACTTTGCCGCGATTGTGGTAACCCTGCGACCGTGAAATTCCCTTTCCCTTCTCCCGGCATCCTTCTCCTCTCCATTGATGTATTTACCATCGCTCTGGTTTGTTTAGTTCGCCTGCTGTGTCGTGTTCAGTAAACGTGTGTTCGTGGTGCACGTCACGAAAATGGATAAACGAAATCAAGAGCAACGCGTCGCGATAAAATTGGGCGAAACAGCTTTGGCAACGTACGCTAAATTGTAAAAGTGCATAGATCTTAGTTCACAATGGTTGTCTCCGCACGAACCTCGCCCGAAAAAGGTCGCATGAACAAGTTGAAGGTGAAAACGATGATTATTGCCTTTCTTGATAGCTATGGGGTCGTCCATAAAGAATTTCTTCCTGCGCCAAGTACTTGAGAGATTGCGAAAACGAGTCAAAAGGGTGCGCCCAGACATCGCCCATAACTGGATCCTTCATAACGACAACGCGCCGTGCCACACCACCCTCTGCGTGTTCCAGTATTTGGCCTCTAAAGAGATCGCTGTGTTGCAACAACTGTCTTATTCGCCCGATTTGTGACCCTGTGACTTTTTTTTGTTAACTAGAACAAAGTCGGTGGCCAAGGGGACCCAATTTGAGTCGACTGACGTCATCCAGGCGGCCGTGACGAGGGTACTTGCGGACATCCCATTTGAAGCGTTCCAGTAATGTTACGAAGCATGGAAAATGTGCCCAAAGTAAAGTAGGCCTCTTTAAAGGGGATGGCAGAGTTGTGGTATAATTTTCAAATGCACGGTTTTATGGAATCAGTCTCATTACTTAATTGTCACACCTCGTATGATAAAAGTTAAAAGTGACTCATTACTTTAGAAAATTGAGTTATTTGGGTTAAATTTTCTGCTTTTAAATAATATTTTAATATTGATAAAAAGTAGAAGTTTACGCGAATGAGTAGAGTTTTTGACTGCCATTAACCTGGGAGTGGACAGCAATGATTCTTTTACATATAGAACAAGCGAATTCCGGTCTCAGACCAAGTGTCCTCTGGGTAGTCAAAAAACATGTCTTTGTAGGTGAGCAAATCGTGAGTCCCCGGCTTAACAGTGCAAACTCGAATAGAGTCCCCGGCTTAACAGTGCGTCGGGTACTTTCACAACAAACCATTAGCCGTTCGGAGGCGGCTTAGCATAAACTGTGGGCTCCTCCAATTGTTGGAAAAACATCAAGACGCAAATATAAATTAGAGGAGCAGCTCGGCCGAAAATCGCTTCAGCGGTTACAAAGCGCCGATTATATATGTACATATTTAATGAAATTATTATTCCAATTATTATTACTATCAAATTTAATACATAAATATTTCTTATTTGACTATTAAATTTGATCAAATTTTTGAATTCCATTAACATTTAAATTCGCAAAAATGCCAAAAAATCAAAAGGAAGAAAATTATAAATATTAAAATTTACCTTATGCCAAAGACATTAAATGCTTATCCTTACGAACTCTATATTTAACAGTGAACCTTAAATGCGAAAGTTCAGCAAGTGTCTACATATATGATCAGCGGATATTCTAGTATGTAAATCCAAGCCAAAGTCTCCAAAATATCCAAGTAAAATTTAGAAAAGGTTTGGCCATTTCTTTTCAGTTTAAGCCCCCAGTGACCTCAATGGCCGCACCATTCACATACGACGACTTTTCGGACGCCAGAAATGCTATCACCTCGGCAATCTCCTCGGGACGCCCCAAGCGACCCATTGGACAGCGACGCAAAACATCTTGCTTAACCTTTTCGGGCACGACTTCCACCATGGGCGTATCAATGAACCCGGGCAATATGGCATTTACACGTATGCCAAACTTGCCAAACTCCTTAGCTGCAATTTCGGTGAGTGAGACGACGCCAGCTTTTGTGGCAGCATAATTCGCTTGACCGGGATTACTAAGACGCGCCACAATGCTCGACATGTTAACGACACTGCCGTTGCGTATGTGATGCTCGATCATGGCACGTGCAAATTGTTGGGTCATCAAGAAGGTGCCCTTCAAATTCACCGCATACACATCGTCATAATCTTGCTCGGTTAGCTTAAGTAAATAGCCATCGCGCGTAATGCCCGCGGAATTGACAACAATTGATGGTGGCTGCTTGAATTGTGTGATGGAGTAGTTGACGGCTTTGCTAACACTTTCCAATGAAGCGACATTCACTTCCAGTGGCAGTACATGGTCTATGGATGAGTAGAAAATTAGTAGTTTAAGCGAAAAGCAATTTGTTGCATACTCTTAGGCACACCCACACACACACACACACACACTCGCACTTACCGTTGCCAATGTCTTTTGCTGTTTGCTCAGCTGCGCGCAGATTTCGATCAGCTGCGATCACCTTAGCACCATCACGTGCTAGTAGCCGACAGGTGGCGCGCCCAATGCCCGAACCAGCACCTATAGAGAATGAGGTGTTGGTTGTAAGGGATAATCGTGTAATTATGGCAATCACAAAGCAGTAAATAACACGTGTGCCGGCGTATATATATATATATATATATATATATATATACATATGTAAAAGAGCAACAATAAAAAGTGAGCACTTTGTTATGTACACATACATTTTTTACTCATTGAGCCGCTCAACTATTACTACTCACCTGTTACAATAGCCAATTTTCCCAACAACACCATGCTTGCTAAGCACTTATCAGCTGTTCGAGCTTATCAACAAATAAATATACAAACACAAAAGAAGAACTATCTGCAGTTTCTTTTAACCGTAGCACACGCCCACTTAATCGCACACAAATAATCTCTCTGCAAGAAAGACAAGTAAATAGATGACATAAACACTTTGCGAAATATTAAAATAAAAAAAAAAGTGAATAACTTTTAAACACATTTGTTGTTTAATAAACAAAATCTTACAAACAAAGAAGTCTACACGAAATATCGATGGTACAAAGCTCAAAATTAGCGTCAAAGCACCAAAATAAATAACAAAAGGAGCAAATAAAGAGCACGCAAATGATCGCGCTAATATGCACATATGTACATATGTATAAATGCAAACGATTGCGACGCTGACTGTATTCGTTGAAGGTAAATTGGGTACTGAGTTGCTGTAGACAGGGCAATAAGCAATAAACAATAAACAAAGCAAACAGAATTGAAAAATTTCGAAGATAAGAAGCCGGCGGCAGTGAGCTTTTTACCTAATATGCGCTCATATACAATTGAAATGATAAGCGACTTGATGTTAAATATACGTACAACAGACATATGTACATTGAAAACGTACCATAATAATTTATAGGAAAATCAAACGTTACGGAGTAAGCCTATAAGTATGCACTCATTTATGTGTGCGATCAATTTTCTCCATCTTCACTTTAGTAATTTTACAATTTTTTAATGCTTCAACAGTTTGCTAGTTGATGCCCTCCTTGAAAAATAATATTTACTTTGATTTATCAATAAACATACTCGTATGTACATATAACGGTAAATATTAAATTTTTTTTGACTTCCCTTAATTATTTTTTTAAGAATGTGGCGGGTGTGATAGTCCTTGGCTGAATAAAAATCTGGGACTTAACGGTTTGAAGACCCGACTGTAGTGGGAACTTATGGATTTTAGTCACCTCTTATGAGAGGCATGTTTTACCGTGCGAGAATACTTGAACCCCTACTCCTTTGATAATTTTTAAACAGTACTCTTATGTAATGGGGGATTTTTAAGAGCTATGGGAAAATTAAAAAAAAAAACATAAACTTCAGAAAAATTCTTGAAATCTTTATTTAAATCGAAAGTACGGTCCATAAAATTTAATGTTTGAGGATTATTTCAAGCAAATATTGAACGTGACTGCGCCTCAAATGGTCCATCCGCGTAGTACAATTTTGATATACTCTTTTCAATATTTCGGCGGGTATCTCACGAATAGATCTAATCATAGTCCCACAAAAATCAGTATAATGGCGTTAAATCGCACGATCTCTGCGGCCAATCTACCGGTGCCTAACGTGTAAAATGTTCATCGAACTCGCCTCTCAATAACTCTATTATTACGCGTGCTATGTGGCATGTGGCACCTCTTCCAATGCTTCTGGCTGATCCTCACTCCAAAATCAACAATTCTGCTTGTTTACGCACCCATTAAGCCAGATATGATATTCGAAGCGGGCACGGAAGAAGCGCTCGATGAACTTTATGTGTTTAAGGTTTTTTTGGCAATATAAAAAAATATTATCTAAAAATGTATTTAATATATAAAATATCCAATTTTGAAAAAAAATCCAATTATTAACACAACACATATGCATTTGAGACGTAAATTCATTCCTTTAACCCCTTAGTGGTGTGAATTATGGTACTTGAATAATATGGACCTAAACATGTAATGCGACTTCGAAGCACACCAAATATTGATAAACTGACCTGAAGAGAGACGGACAAATAAACATGACTATAGAATGCACTATGTAGTTGCTATTATAGCGGCAATCCAACCCAGCTTAGAAGCAGACGAGACTAGCTTAGGTCATATAGATCATCAAACGGGTTGTTCAAAGAAAGAGCTCGACGGGTTCGAACCAGAAGGAGAGGTGGTGAGATGAGTTGGTTTTATAGGGCATGTCATGTGGTCTTATTGGAGTCAAACATATATATATATATATATATATATATATATATATGTGTGTACATACCTTGGGTATGTTGGGGTAAAGTCTGTATGAGTAGCAATATTCAAATCTTAATTGTGGTAGTATTACACGGTACTCTCGAGGCTGCTCGAGCTTCCCCACTGCAGTAGGTGGTGATTGGAAGAGAATTTAGGAAGGTGTTACCGAGAGCAAAATGGTGTTTAAAACCTGTCAGTACACCGCAGTGTCCAACGGTTCTTGTATGTGATGCTTAATTTTGTTTTTGTTCTAGTAGTAAAAGTCTGTTGAGATGTTCAAAAAAAAAAAAAACAGTTGGCTAAAATAAGTCTTTCTCTTCTTCGAGTCCGATGAGGCACGTTCACCGAATGATATTTTTACCCAAATATACGGTTAGACAAAGTTTTGACCGAGAGCTTGGTTGGCCAGAGGTGATATTGTAGGACCTTAAGTGTCCATCCCACTAGTTCCGCCTGTGTCGGTCAATTTCATGACGAATCTACTTAGCATAACGTATTAGGGCGGATTTCCGCGCTTCAGCCTGAAGCAGCTTTACATCTATTTGACGATGCTGTTCTCTGCAGTTTTAACTGAATATCCCTAAGCTAAGCTACAGCCGGTCATTAAGGCAGCTATAACCTTTCCAACTTCCGTCAAAGTTATGTACTAATCTCAATGAAATTTTTATTTAATTCGAAACGAAATTTCAATACATCGAAGTACCTCCTGAGGAGCTTTTCTCTCCATCGCTTAGATGTTATCAAAGCATCTCACTCAATCCTAATGGTGACTCTTCAGCCATAAATCTTCGTTCGTAATTCGTTAAACACATTTTTTTTTTTGTTATTTGACAACTTGTATATACATACATACATATACATACATATATTTATTCAGATTTATCACCAATTTAGTCAATTCAATTATTTCACTCGTCTAACCGATGCTGTGCACAATTTTCTTGAAATAACGTTTCGGGTATTTAACCAATTGTCGGCGAATGATGCGTTGAATTTTGCGCCACGGACGCTTCTTCGAGCGCTCATCGTCATCCGACCAATCGTCAGTGGCATGCTCATTTGCACCCTCACTCTCACTCACTTTTAATTTACCGCTATCAATAAGCTTTTGCACTTGCGCTTTGCTCAGTTCGACGAGGGTATAACCATTTGGACCGATCTGTTGCTGTTCATCTGCCATTCCATCGTCGTCCTGCTCGCTTTCATCAGCAGCCATTGCAGGTTCTATTGGTTTTTTCTTGGCTTCGTCCAATGGTGTTGTTGCGAAACGTAGCAAAACAAGTGGTTTTTGCAACGGTTCAGTTTGTAGAGTCAAAGGACATTTTGGCTTGAATTTTGTGTCCTTCATGAACGCAATGTGTGTGGCGGAGCGGACTAGAATTTTTTTGAATTAAAATATTTTTTTTTTCTTTAGCAAATTAATATTTTTTACGCACCTCCTGTTGTCCAACAGCTCAAGAGAGTAATTAAAATGCAGCAAGCTTCGAAGCGGATTTTACACATTTTTTTTTTGATTTTTCGATTTTTTGATTGATTTAATTTTTAAATTTAGATTCAACTATTCACCTTTATTGTTGGTTCTCAAATAAAGTTCAATTGAAAATTCTTCTTAAATATATAGACATTTTACTGTTAAAATTTTTCTTCTACTTTTTGCAAATCATATTACTTTGGGGGCGATTTAGGCACTCAATCAGTCACTGGTCTTCATTCTTCTTTAAATAAATACAATTAATATGCTATGTATGTGCGTGTGCGCGCGCGTACTTGTATTTCAAAGCTGTCAAAAATCTGCCACTGTTAACTGTTATTACATGTTGTTGACGTGCTGGAAGAGTTCTTTAATTTACAAGTATTTGTTGTTGTCACTGTTGACCTATATAAAAATGTGTATGTATATATGTATGTATAAATTCTTTCACTATAGTTTCAAGCGCAACAACAACGAAAATTCGTCAGCCGCAATAGCCAAGTGCCTAGCAATGCGTTCTGCCATTCTGAAGGCCATGGTTCAAGTCCTTGCTCGACCAACATTAATTTTTTAAATTGCAGTCGCCGCTCGGTGGGGAAGCCCTCCGTGTTTATTTCTGTCAAGAAATGAAAGCTCGTTATAAAAATTCTTCGGCCGTTATGAGGCTTTGCTTCTGCGGTTACAAGGTTCTAGAGTTTTTTCTGCTTTGGGAACGTGTATAAATTAAAAAGCATTTGATTTCGAATATGTTTCTTTTAGGACATTGACTTCGAAAATAGTGAGGCAAAACTTTTTATTAAAAATTAAAATATACGAGGGGATTAACAAAAGTTCGCTAAGTTGACAGAACAAAAGAAAAACATATACTTTTTTTTATTTATTTTTGGTATATAATCTTTGTCCTTTTCCTTCTTTTCTACATAATCGCCATTGATTTCAATGCATCTTTTAAGCCAATGGATTCACTTCTGAAAAGAGTCTTCGAAATCTTGCTTTTTAAGCTTATTAAGTTTAGCATTAACCGCAGTAATTATCTCCTCGTTCCTACTAAAGCCATTTCCTTTCAAATTTTTTTTTTCATTTTTGGAAATAATCAGAAATCACAGGGTGCTATTTTCGGAGAATATGGTGCGGAATGTATTTCTTCGATCCCAGAGATAGCCATAAAATTACTCGTTTTTTTAGCAGTGAGATATCGCGCGTTGCCTTAATGTAAAAAGTAGTACCGCATATCCGCTTTCTTCCAGGTTTCCAACAAAGTTCTGAAAACTTTTGGTAAGCACTCTTCAGTGTACCATTTTGCTGTATCTTTTCTGACACTTTTCCAGTGGAATAGCAGCTAGGAATTTAGATCGGCTGAAGTAAACTGAAATCATTACTTTTGCAGCTGATTTTTGTCGCTTACTGGCGGGCCTGCTTCTGTTGGGATCCATACTATGGACTGTGTTTGGTTTCTGGACCATACTTATAGAACCAAGATTCGTCACCAGTAACGACTTTACTGAAGTTGCTTGACTGACCATTTTCGAATTTGTTTAGGAAAAATTGAAAAAAACGCCTCTTTTTGCGTCTCATTTAAATTTCGTGGTATCCATCGAGCAGATTTCTTCCTATAGCCGGTGATTACTTAATATTCAAAGTAGAATACTTTAGATCACAATTTAAAGAGTATTCCTTCATAGTAGTTCACACTATAGTTCGCAATAGAGTGCTTCATAATGCATTCATTATGCTGCTCCAAGAAGGCTTCCGCAGAATGCTATTAATAGAAGCCCACGGTTTTCCATAAAACATTGAGATGAAGCAAATGCTACTTAAGCGCTCTTCTTTATTCATTTATATGCAAATATCATTTCAGTATTTAATTTGGTATACATGGGTGTTCTTTTTTTCGAAAATCAAGATTTTATAAAAAAATTGTTCAAAGTATTGCCCATCGGAAGCTACGATGTTTGCCCATCACAAAAGAACTTATCCGGCTTGGAGGTGCAGAAAGAATCGAGCCAATTTCTGATACCTTTTTATGAAGTGAAGCGTACTCCGGTGAGGGCATTCTGTATTGATCTGAACAAGTGGTAATCGGAAGGTACTATGTCTGGGCTATAAGGCGGGTGGTGTAGAACTTTCCAATCCCAGTTAGTTTTGGGTAGACATTGATCGTCTGATTTCAATAGCTCATAATAGAGCACACCCTTGTGGTCCCACCAAATACATAGCATAACCTTGGCAACATAAATATTCGGCTTTGCCGTGGATGTCGATAGTTGGCCGGGCTTCACATACGATCTCTTGAGGTTTGGATTATCATAATGAATCAATTTTTCATCGCCAGTGACATCATCAAACATGCAGAATCGACGCTCAACGTCTCTTGACTTAAATCATAAGGCACCCAACTTCCAAGCTTCTGGATGAATTCTAATGATTTTAATCGTCTGGAAACGGTTGCTTGACTACTCCTAATACTTTTGCAAGCTCGTCTTGCGTCTGGCATGCATCTGCGTCGAGCAATATCTCCAATTCTTCGTCCTGATATTTTGTTGACTGTCCCGTTCGTTCTCCGTCGTCTAAGTCGAATTTGTTAACATGTTAAAGTAATGAAGAAGAACTCCCCTCAAAAACACTTTCTCTGGTACAGAACGCTGTCAGAAAAAACTAATGGAATTCCATTTACAATAAGTAGGGCTTTTTGAATCCTAAAATAAAAGTACTTTGCTGACGACATATCTACTGTAAAAAATTAACTGTTATAAAATCTGATCAGATGGAGCAAAGTCCAAAGCGACAGTCGAGAGGTTCGTGAAATAAAGTGATTTTTGTGATGGAAAATGTCAGAATTTCCTGAAAGTAAGACTTAAGCCGACACCCCTCATAGGTACAAAAAGTACAGCAGATATCAGCGATGAGAACGTTTCATATCGAAACATTGTGAATTTTCGAAAAGTATAAGTTTTGTTTGATGAAGACAGATTTCGGGTTTCAGTGTAAAAATTTTGTATAATTCATGGTCCAAGATTCAAGTTCATGACCATCAGTGACCGCACATAGAGACCTTCTCTAATGAGCCGGTTTGTGGTGAAAGAACAATAGAAAGTGTGCGTATGCATCAAAGCCTACGGCCTAAATACGCACACTCCTGTGTATGGTGAAGACTCTCTGCAATTTCAAGTGGTGGAAAATTTGTATGTCAACAGGCAACCAAACGGTTTTTTCTTGACTCCTTTCTGAAAACAATCTTCAACAACTGGGTATAAGGGAGTTAAGGGACGGCGTTTCAAGAGATGCCGATGTTGTTCTCGATATTATTTTAAAATTTTTCCGATAAAAAATTTTTGCCAGTATTATTTTTTTTTTTTGCTCTCGAAACTGTGTATTTATTTAAGTTTTTTTTAAATTCATATAAATTAAATAAGTTAAACGTTACATTTCCAGAGCCCATAATTACAAACACAAAATTGCTTTTATATCTGTATCGCTACACATACTCGCACAAATGTCCTTTGCCTTCTTTAATTTCTTGTTTAGTTCTTAACACGACGTCTCTTGCCGCCATTCTTCCTTCGGCGTACTCGGTTGACGCGTTTCCTTTGTACAGTGCGACGCTTAATAGGGCGATTACCTGTGTTGAGCATCACCTTCTGACCGTTCTTGAAGTATTTACGGTACTTCGCCGGTATGCGCACAGACACCGTTTGACCCTTCTTGCCACCGGGACGACGTAAATTCACACGAGCCGGTGCACGTGAAGCCTTAGCATCGGAAGTGCCGCGTATTTCTTGATCTGTCACCACATACTCTTGTGCGCCAGCCGCAAGTGCAGCTTGTAATTCCTGTTCATCAATTGCAGCGGCAGCTTCTTCCAACGCCTGCTCCTCTTCTTGACGTACGGCCGGCTCACCACGTGCCGAGGTTGTTGTTGAGGGTGACGTTGTAATCGTACCCGTGGCTGTGGGTATAGAACCGGTGGAAGTCACTGTCATAGTTGGTGATGTTGAATAAGTCGGTGAGGTGCCGCCACCGTTACCGGCAATAATAATTGGTATGATGGGTTGTTGCTCTTGCTGACTGAACATATTCTTGAAGAGTAGGAATTTCTTCAAAAACAAACGACCACTGGATGCATTGGCACCACCTTTATTGGGTGTCGCATTCTTATTGGCATTCGCATCAGTATCGGCTTCGGCGTCACTCTCAGCGTCAGCATTTTGGGCATTGCGCGCCTCCTTGACATCGACGGCAGCCGAACGGAAACGTGGTAATACGACGCGTTGAGCTGGAAGGTAAAAAAATTTTGAATATTTTTATAAATGAAAAAAAAAAAAGATTTTTTCTTTCTTGAGTTGCTACCTTTAGCGGGTTCCGGTGCAGGGTTCGGTTCTGGCTCTGGCTCAGCCTGTGCGCTGAGCACAAGCGCAGCAATAAGGACAAATATGAGTGAAAGATGCTTCATTTGGAACTACTTCTCCTTGGCCAGCCGGTGAAAGAACTTTCCGAAATGTGTCTGAACAACGAGAAGGTTAATTGAATTTTGATAAATAATTTAACTAACGGTGCAGCTTTTATACAAGCGCTATGAAATTGAAATCATCTACCATTCATTGCTTATGATTTACAACGGGCTTTAGTAAATAAAAAGCAATGACCAGTTTCTAATGCTCGTGGCTTCCAGTTACACCAAGCACTGTTGCCATTGTACGGTACTTTAGGGAGACAATAGTGGTTCTCAATATAATTATTGCCAGGTCACATCCACATAAGTGGCGCACATAAGCATGAACAAACGTGCGCGCTGCCAGAAAAAAGTTGTATGAACTCAGTTTGAAAATAATAAATACAGTTAGATTGCTCCTAGCTATTTGCCTAGCATGTGCGCCGCTTCAGTGAGAACAAGCAATCAGCAATAATGGCAATATCATCTTTATAGCCCCCGTCCCACCGTCTTCGTAACAAGTACTCGTACGTGAGTATCTGCAACGACGCTCATGTGTGAGCTATTCACAGGCGAAATTCCTTGTAAAAAATGCTGAAATGTTGAAATGCGTGCAAAATATTCAAATTCCGAAAATGACCATTCATGAGTGACTTTTTACTTTTTACTTTTTACTTTTCCTTTGTTATTTGCGCTTTTTCTTGCTTTCAGCAGTGCCCTTGTTGTGAGTGTATGTGCGTGTGTATGTACTTATGTACTTTTGTAGATAAACAAAGTAACGCCCGAATGCATAAACCACTTGAAATAATAAATAAATTTTTCTTTTTTCTTTTGTTCAATAATTGAAAAAGTACAGAAATGTAATGAAAAAGTGAAATTCTCACATGTGAGCACAAGAAAGTATTAACAGAATATGTAAAAAATATAATAATCTATTTTTGTAAGCCATGAGCATTTTTCAGGTGGCTGTGCTGAGCTTAACATCATGATGCGTCCGGAAGATGAGCGGGAAAATTGCGAAAGATTTGAGTTTGCCTTTTGTGAAGAATTCTAGTTTTAGTTAGAGAATGGAGTTTGCATATCGATTGGAGCGTTTTGCAAACAAATTTAAAAATCGAAAATTAGAATCAACTCAGTAATTAACTATTTTATACCCTTCATGTATATAAAAGGTGCAAAGTATTTAAATACCAGGAGGAGAAGAGAGAGCTCCATCCATATTAATATCGAATTAAGAATAGAGTTGTTTTAGTCATGCAGGTGCGACCATCTGGCTGCGCGCAAACTTCTTCTTCCTCATTGGCATAGCCACGCTAACGCGATTATAACCAAGTTAACTTATCAGGTGTACAACTTTGCTTCCGCCGTTTTTTTTAATTAAAATCTTTATTACGAAAAAGTGCTTACAGATATATTATTCAAAGTATTGTCCTTCCGGCAATTTTCGGATCCCGGCTCGGAAAAAGGAGTCCTCTTTTGACGCTACCCATGAAGCAATCCATTTTTCCAATTCTTCGAAGGATTGAAAATGTTGATCTGCCAGGCCGTGTGCAATCGAACGTAATAGGTGGAAGTCAGAAAGGGCGACATCTGTGGAATACGGCGGGTAGGACAAGACTTCCCATTTCAGTGTTTCCAGGTACTTTTTGACCACTTTTGCAACGTGAGGCCGAGCATTGTTTTGTTGGAGGATGACTTTGTCATGTCGCTCTTGATATTGTGGCCGCTTTTCTTTTAGCGCGCGACTAAGGCGCATCAGTTGTGTGTTTTGCCTTCGACGAAGAAGCATGACACGTTATTTCACTCAGAGCAGCATCACCAACAATTCGTTAGGCACTGTCTACACTCACTTTAAAGGCATTATCATCTATGTTTTTCAACCAGCCTCAGCCGGTACAGCCACCTATCGGAAAACGGCGGAAGCAAAGTTGCACACCTGATACATTACCATCTGTGTGCTGTTCGGCGCCAATTGGAAATATCAAGTGAAACCATGTCGTTCTCCAACTGGTGTTCCCAATGATTGGAGGTCTTTCTCTTCCTCTGCTTCCTCCAGCAGGCGCCGTAGCGCAGAGTTTCAAAGCCATGACATATTTACTTTTCCAAATAATCTAGCTGGTTGATTTCAGATCAACTCCCAGAGCTTCAAGAATTATCTACACCAAAAAAGTCTTTGAATTACTTTTTTTGTTCCCACATCGGATTTATTCTGATTCAATTGGATCAAAGTATCAAAGGTTTAGAAGTAAAGAAAGGATCGCAGAAAATATGCATGGATCTGGCGATAATAGAATTGCTAATAACTTTATGTCGTTTCTTCTTTTCGACTTTTGACGCCAAACGGACCAAATGAAAGTTATCTTTTCTTCACCTGATGTTTTCCACAGAGTTTGCTTGTTTGCTTCGGATCACTACCTGGTGGCAGCGAAGATACGCTTCGCTGTATCAAAAAACATCCGCCAACAAACACAAGGAATGTTCGAAGTCGATTGCGTGATTGCAGCAGACTGTCGAGTGATTTTCTACTTGGCTTGCTCACCTGCTTTCTGAGAACGCTCATCAGCAACTTGGTATGAGGGAACTGTCCAGCCTGCTAAATGGCAGTGAAAATGAAACACCCGAAGATGGTGAACCCGATATCCCAATCCATGACGATGGAACAGATGAAGAGTTGACTAGGTTCATGCATCAGCTACTTTGCAGACTATGGTCCGATGAAAGCAAGCTCGTCAATTGGAACCGAAGTGTACTCTGCCCAATACACAAAAAGGGCGATCCCACAGTCTGCGCCAACTGCCGTGTATTCACCATGCGACAAATCTTGGAAAAGACCCCTGAAGAGAGAATCGACACAAACCAGCTCTTCTTTGATTTTAAATCCACCTTCGATAGCACGAAAAGGAGCTGCCTTTACACCGCATTACTATAAGCTCCCTCAGGATCGGGAAGGACCTCTCCGAATCGTTCGGTAGTCTTTGTCGTGTGATTTCTTCAATCTGATGCTGAAGAGAATAATAACAGCTGCAGAGCTGAATAGAGAAGATACAATCTTCTATAAGAGTGTACAAACCACTGGCGTACGACGATGATATTGACATTATCATCCTCAACAACCGCGCCGTTAGTTCTGCTTTCTCCAGGCTCGATAAAGAAGCGAGGCGACTGCGTCTGGTAGTGAACGAGGACAAGACAAAATATCTCCTGTCATCAAACAAGTAGTCATCGCTTTCGCGAACTTTGAAGTCGTAGATAATTTCGTCTATCAAGGAACCAGCATTAACACCAATAATAACGTCAGCCTAGAAATCCAACGCAGAATCACACTTGCCGACAGGTGTTATTTTGGACTGAGTAGCAATTGAAAAGTAAAGTCCTCTCTCGGCAAACGAAACTCAAACTCTACAAGCCGCTCATCGCGGCTACGCTGGCTAGGTTATGTTGTCCGAATGAATGAAAGCACTCCAGCTTTGATGTATTGGATGCAGTACCCGCAGTTGGGAATAGAAGAAGAGGAAGACCTCGTCTCCGTTGGAAAGATCATGGTGGAGAGTGACCTGGCTTGACGTGGTATTTCCAACTTCTTCGCGTTCTTCTCCATCTGATTCCACTGGCGGGCGCAACTAGAGATGTAAACCTCCAAAATACCCTTTTCTCGAAAACTCAGTTGAAAGTAGCCCCTGTGAGCAAGAGTAGAACTGCGTAAAATTTCATTTTTGCCTTTGTTGCTGGTAGTTATGATAATTACAAAAGTTATCGGTTACCATACTAGAAATGCTCACGAAAGTTCGGCTTCAACTCTCAAAATGGGGTAGCATGTAAATGATAACTCACCATCGTCTACGTACCACAACAGCTGTAGTTTTTACCGAGAGTTTTGGGAAAAATTTAGATTTTTTCCGTAGAAAAAGCTGCTCTCTCGATCAGCTCTTTTCCTTCTGCTTGCTTTTGTAGATGTGGGTATAAAGATTGTGCAGACAGACGAATGGCTGTGTGGGTGTAAAAAACACAAACGCGCAGTGTTTCCAGTTTCAATATCGTCATGAGTTCTACGCTCTTATAGAAGATTTTAAGATAAAAAAATTATCTAGTCTGCCCCCTCGTTTAGTATCGAAGGCCTCGGAGAGGTTCTTCTGGATCCTGACGTTAAGTGTGAATATCAAATTCAGCTCAAAAACGGCGAAAAGGTGGTGTGGCCCGATCTTTTTTCCATGGGTCTTTTTGAATATTTGTGGCACGGTGGCATTGACTTGTAGTCAATTTAAGATTAGTCAAGTCCGAAGCCACACTGTTAAAGTGTAATCAGATCAATGCCGGTGGAGGAGATTTATCTTGCTACAACCGGCTTGCAGTCATCTCAACAAATTCGCAAAGAAATTGATGCCTGAAGTTGGTCAGTTATTTGCCGCCATACTTGTGTTGCTCAGCCGGTGAGCTGTTTGTCATGTAAGTGGTGTTTTTCGTTCGTGTATATTTTATTTTCAAATCACGCCAGATAGCGTACCGTAAAATTAAAAAAAGGGAGGAATATTGGTAAAAAAAGTATGAAAATTCTGAAACCATAAATTGGATAAATTATTGAAGAAAGCCGCAATAAAAATTTTTTTGTGAATTGTTTGTTGTTATTAATTTTAGCCACCACTTATAATGCAGTAAATGCGTTGAATTTCATTGCATGATTTTAGGCATTTTAGCAACTACATACATGCCTTTTGATTAAAGGTAGAGTTATTTTGAAATGCTATACTCACATTACATACAAATGTGCGAGTACGAGTATTTTTTTTTTATTAAAATAAACTAAAATCTGCAGCATTCAAAGTATTATCCATACGAAGTGACTATTTCTCCCATTTCTCTGGTAATTTTTGAGTACCCTTCCTAAAAGTGAGTCCAATTACTTCACATAAAACCGAACCGAAGACTCTCCTAATCATTTTGCACCGAACGATAAAGCCAGTACTCAGCAGGAGAAAAATCTGGAGAATACAGTGTGTCTCGTAAGACCTCCAACTTTAGCATTC